ATATTCTTTCCATATCTCCACTGGTTGAAATCCTTCTTTTCCTTCAAAGCCTAACTCAGGTATCATTTCTTCCATGAAGGCTTCCCCATGAAGCCTTTAGGGAGGCCTCTCCTTTCTCGAAAGAGCTCTCTCCTCCTTCCTTGTATTTATTATAGCACTTTGGTTAGATCTTTCCTTTACCCTAAGCTCAACCTACCTCGTTTCCTACTTATTTCTCTACAAATGCAATCCATTCATTAGATAGTAAGCATGTTGGGGACAGGAGCTCTGAAATTCTTCATCTTGATGCCTCCACCACCTAGCATATTTCCTTGTACACAGTAGGCAGTCAAAAATATTTTTGCTGAATTGAACTGAATCAATTACCTTTTGCTTTGGGGTTTGTATCCTTATGTCTTTGTGGCACATCTCCCCTGCTACCAACCTAAGAAAACACACAGAACCAGAAAGAAAATTTAACTTTCTACTACAAAAAGTGACAACACAGAATTTTTATTATGTTTTCTCTTTGAAACTATACCACCTAGCTTTTTAATTGAAACACCATTATACCTTTCTCAACAGAATTATCTTTTTTCCTCTAACAGAAGATAATGATGACAAATGACTTATATTCATGTACCAATTTATGTACCACTAAGCCTTTCCTACACCTATATATTTGATCTGTAAGGTAGTCACTATAGGAATTATCCTCATTTTACAGGTGAGTAAACTGAGGTATGAGGATTAAGTGACTTGCCTACAGCATCACAACTGGTAAAAGAGCCAAGACTCAAACCCAGGTCCTCTGATTTTAAGTCCAATGCTTTTTGGATTACACCATTCTATATGCTGGGAATTTTCTTTTTACCAACTAATAAGTAATCATTCATTTTATTATTGCCATTGACTTCTAAAATCTGCTAAGCAGAGCTCTAAAATTAATCATTTATTTATAATATAAAGAAAAAATTAAGAAAAATTTCAGGGAGAGAAGAAATAAATGAATCTTATTTATTCAAATAATTACTCAAATTCATATACTTCTTCACAATATATAAAATACTTTCCTCATAATAATGTTGTATGGTAGATATGCAAATACTATTATTCTAATTTTACAATTCAATTCTTTATTTAATAATCATTTGTTAACCATCTATTACATGTACATCTATTAGATGCTGGAGGATAAAGATAGTTAAGACATAGTCCCTGCCCTTGAGAGGATAAGTGACTTACTCAAAGTCATATAAGTAGTAAGTGGCAGAGCTGAGACTAAAACATCTCAGTCCTATATACGATGTTTTTTTTCAACTATCCCATCAAAATTAAAAAGTATATGGATATATAGTTAACACTAAAACTTATTTTTAAAAATCATGAAAAGTTGAATATGTGGGATGAGTTTGAACGAAGAGTCAAGGATGATGTCTGAGATTGTGAACTTGGGAAATTGAGAGGATGATGATGCCCTGAACTGTAATAGGAAAGTTTAAAAGAGGGGAGGCATTGGGGAAGAGGGGAAGGAGATTATGGGTTCAGTTTTGGACATGTTACTTTAAGATGTCTACAGGACAGCCAGTTCAATATGTCCAATGTCAGGAAGGAGGATAGGGATGGATAAGCAGATATAAGAATCATCTGCATAGAGATGATCATTGAACAGAGGCAGTTAGGTGGTTCACTGAATAGTGTTGGACCTGGAGTAGGGGAGACCTGTGTCCAAATCCAGCCTCAGATGCTAATTAATTGTGTGACCATAGACAAGGATCTTAATCTCTGTCTGCCTCAGTTTCCTTATCTGAAAAAATGGGGATAATAGCAGCACCTACCTCCTAGGGTTGGTGTGAGGATAAAAAGAGATAATATCTGTAAAAGTGCTTCGCAAATCTTAAAGAGCTATATATGTACTAGTATCATCATCATCATCATCATCATTATTAGATAATAATATTACTAAGTGAGATAAAGAAATAAGAGAAAAGGGCCCAGGACAGGGCCATGGCCAATGCTCAAGCTTGATGGGCATGACCTGGAGGAAGATCCAGCAAAGGAGACTCAGTGGTCAGGCAGGTGTGAAGAGAAATAAGAGAAAGCAGTGTTAAGAAAACCTAGAGAGGAGAGAGGAGCCAGGAGAAGAAGGTGATGATCAGTATCAAAAGTTGCAGAGAGATAAAGAAGTTTGAGGGTTAATAAAAAGGATCAATAAAAAAATTTGACAATTAAGAGATTATTGGTAACTTGGGAGAAAGCAAATTTAATATAAAGATGAGGTTGGAATTCAGGCTATAGATCGGTCATGTTTTTTGTTTTGTTTTGGTTTGCTTTTAGAATGGGAGAGATGTAGGTGGCAGGGAAGCAGCTAGTAGATAGGGAGAGATTGAAGATTAGTGAGTAGGGATGATAGAGGGAACAATCTTCTGGAGAAGATGAGATGAAATGGGATCAAGGTAGTATATAGAAGGGATTATCCTGGTAAGGAGACGAGACACCTCTTCATGCAAGACATCTAAGTGATGTAAGGTGAGGAGGAGTGGAAAAGAAGGGGCTTTCATGGAATGGCATCAATGTTTTTGATGAAGTGGGAGGTAAAGTCCGCAGCTGAGAGGGGGAGGGCAGGCAATGCCATGGGAGACTTGAGGAGGGATGCAATGGTTTGGAAAAGTCACTGTGGTGAATGGGATAGTGAATCTATTAGGGGAGTGTAAAAAGACCGCCTTGCTGCAGTGAGTGCCTAGTTGAGATTATTCAACATATATTTGTAATGGACCCCGTCAGGATGGTTTTGTTATGTTCTCCAGCTCAATTCAAAAGCATGTGACTAGGAGTGAATTGGAAGTGATCCAAGGCAAGGCAATTGAGTGAAGTGGATGAGTAGAGTAGGACTGGTTTGTTTATCAATTTGCTGAAACAGAGAAGAAAGGAGAGTATAGCTAGTGCAGTGGTGATGGCCTAGTGAAGAACTGAAAGGTGGGAAGATTGGAGGTCACAGTGGGGACAAGAAACGGGTTTAGGACTTGTAAGGCAGAAGGAAAGATGGAATGATAAAAAGACAATGATCCTATAAAGGAATTTCTGAGTTCATGAACACAGAAGTGGAATGCTTGTGGGAGATGGCAAGATCAAGAGTATAACCATTTGTTTGTAGCTAAGGTGGAATGAAAGAGTAGGTGAAAGGAGCTGAGGAAGTATCAATATTTATGTTGAGGTGCCCTCATGTGAGGGTGCGAAGAAAGACTGTGAGCTAAGTAGTGAACTCACTGAGGAAGGGTGAAGAGTGTCTCATGGGTCAGTAGGCTGCAGCTACCAGATTATTGTTTGGATGAAATGAAAGTTAAAGGAGGAGTTACAGAGTGACACTGGCAGGGGGAAGTAGCAACAGAGAGAAAGGAACATTCCAATCCTCCTCCATGACCAGTGAATCAGGTGCAAGAAAGAAAAGTACAGCTAATATTGGAAAAGGTAGTCAATGATGCTACATTATTGGGAACGAGCCAGATCTCAGTGAGAACCAGAAGATGGAGTGAGAAAGGAAAATATTTAAGATTAAAGCAAATCTGTTAAGTATGGAGCAGGCATTCCAGAAAGCCCAAAGTGGGCAGATCCAGAATGGGATATTTGCAGGGAGGAGGGCGAAGGATTGAGGGGAATTGGGGTAAATGAGTAGGCAATGGGCAAGAATAATAGGGACTGCACAATTGCAGACAGAATTCCAAATTGTTGGGATGAAGAGAATGTGACAGGGTAGGAGTATGCTAATCACTGAGGAATGAAGTATCAGTAGTTGAAGGGAGGTTTAGACAGGGAATTAGACTGCTCAAGGTCTTCCCTTGAAATCCAATCTAATAGTAGATGGAGATATGAGTACTGAGGGGCCATCTCACAGCAGGAAAAGTTATGGCCCAGAGAAGTCTAGACCAGAGGTAGGAGCTGGTAATTTGAGGGGTGTCAGATCCAAGAGTAACCTCCACAGTACAGAAGATGGACCTAGCTTGAAGACAGTGGCTACAGAATGTCCTGGGTAGGACTAACTCAGGGTTCCCTTGGAAGCATCTAGAGTGAAGGGACCATAGACCAGGCCCTTATTCATCCCTTGTTTTTCTTGCTCCAAACTTAGTAATTTAGAACCTTTTTTGTGGTTTTTAGCATTTTTCTCAAGCCTTAACTCATTCTGAATATTAGCCTTCCTCCCTTTTCCTTATAGGATCATGTTTTTTATTCATCCTTAGTAGATTCTCTTCTGTTGGTGTTCCCAGGAAGAAAGTAAAGAAGAAAAGTAGTTCAGGTCCCTTGTTGAGGGACTGAGGTCACATTCATTTTAGAGTCAGTTCTGGAGTAGGAAATAAAAATACTATATAAGTTGTCCCTTGTAAAGTGTCGAGTTGGAAAAGTTAGGGAATAGGAAGAGAGTTTCCTGGTCTCTTATAAGTGTTTGGCCAAATTCTAGCAAAAGATATTAAATATTTACCTAAATTCTAATATAGTAGCAGTTTTCTTTGTACATAAACTAGCATAAACCTCACATTTCTTAAATATACTTGCTGCTGTCTTAGATTGGTAGAATCTGTTCTGTTTTGGCTCCAGTGTTCTCTCTTAGTCCCAGCATCCAAAATCCTAACAGTATGCTTTAAAGGCCATAGAATAACAGATTTTGGGTAGCACCAAAAACCGCCCTCTGGGGTCTATTTTTGGATTATAGTCTGACACAACAATACACTGAAAAACACCATCCTCTGCCATTTAACTCAAGTCTTGAGGAAAAAAGCTTTAAAAACTTAGGGTAATTCCCACTTCTCTTGGATTGTATCATTTTTCATATACCTTCATCTTGCAGCGTCACTTGCCACCAATCATCCATGACCAAATGCACCAGGGAAGATATCATAGCACACGCTCCAGGGTAGCTTCCAGAGTCTTGGCTGCACTCTTTTGGAGGGATCTGCCCCAAGCCATGATCACGGAACATCATCTCCATCCCTTTTAAGGTACGTACAGCATCCAGTTTAGGACTTGTCAAAATATGTCAGTGGATTATTGCCTGATCAAGCTTGAAACTGAGCCCCACAATGTCCACTGCCACAACTATTATTTGATATGGTTCTAGAAATTCCAGCTATAGCAATCATACAAGAAAAAGAAATTGAAGGAATAAACATAAGCAAAGAAGAAACCAAATTATTGCTTTCGGAAGATATTTACTTAGAGAAGCCTAGAGATTCAACTAAAATATTAACTGAAACAATTTATAATTTAAGCAAAGTATCAGAATATCAAGTAAACCCATACAAATCATCAGCCCAACAGGAAGAGATAGAGAAATTCCATTCAAATCAACTACAGAAATGTATAAAATATTTGGGAAGATACCTAATGAGACATATACAGGAACTATATGAATAAAACTACAAAACATTTTTAATAGAAAGAGGCAGACCTAATTATTGGAGATATATTAACTGCTCATAGTTCAGCCATGCCAATATAATAAAAATTACAATACTACCTAAATAAATTTACTTATTCAGTGCCATACCAATCAAACTACCAAAGGCTTACTCTATAGAACTAGAAACAATAACAAAATTCATCTAGAGAAACAAAGGGTCAAGGATCTCAAGAGAAATAATGAGAAAACATGAAAAGCAGGGTACAGTGCCATACCTCAAATTATACTATGAAGTACTGATTATCAAAATTGGTACTGTTTAAAATTTGGAACGACAAACTCCAAATGGACATATGACCTGTATGTAAAAGTTCACCAAAGGCAAGTTCAGTGGTGTAGTGAATAGAATGCTAGACCTGGAGTCAAGAAGAACAGAGTTTAAATCCTATCTTAAACGCTTAACTACCTGTTTGACTCAGGGCAAGTCACAACCTCTTCAACCTCTGTTTCCTCACCTGTAGAATGAGGATAATACTAGCACCTATGTCACAGAGTTGTTGTGAGGACCCAGTGAGATAATGAATGCAAAGTACTTGAATGCAAAGTACTTGGTAAACCTTAGATCGCTACATAAATTCTAGTTATTATTAATAATAATAATATTAGCTAACATTTATATAGCACTTACTATGTGCTAAGCATTGTGCTAAGAGCTTTATAATTATTATCTCATTTGATAATGATGCTTTTATGATTTCCATTTTACAGATAAGGAAACTGAGGCAAACAGAGGTTTAAGTGACTTGCCTAGAGTCATCTGAGGCAGGATTTGAACTCAGGTCTTCCTGACTCCGAGCCAGACACTCTGTGCACCACAGCATCCCCTTGCTGTACTTAGCTATGCCACTTATTATTATTATTATTTTTATTATATCATAAACAAATTGGAAGAAAAGCTCTTACACAACTATGGATAGTGGAAGGTTTCTTTATCAAATAAAGGATAGAGAGAATCATAGGAAATAACATGGATAATTTTAGTTACATAAAATTTAAAAATTTTTACAAAATAATAGCATTGTAGTTAAAATGACAAGGGAAACAGTTAACTGGGGAAAATATATACAACAAATTTCTCTGAAAAAAATACATAAAGAGTTGATTCAAGAGCCATTTCCCTATAATCAAAGGATGCAAACAGGCCACTCTTAACAGAAAACAATGCAAGCTCTCAACAACCATATTAAAAATATTCTAAATCACTTATAATAAGAGCAATTAAAATAGCTTTGAGGCTCCACTGTATACTCATTCGACTGGCAAAGATGACAAAAAAGGAAAATTATAACTATTGGAGGAAACCATGGAAGGAGAGGCATACTATGTTCTCTTGGTAGAGTTGTGAATTGATTCAATCACTCTACGAGGAAATTTGGAATTACATCCCAAAAGTCACTAAAGTTTTTACTCTTTGATCCAGTGATATCACTATGAGGTTTCTACTCCAAAGTCACCAAAAAGAGGCAATACGTATAAAAGTATTTACAACAGTACTTTTTGGTCACTGCAAAGAAAGAACAAATGAAAATGGACAAAAAAGCATTTATTATGTTTACTGAATGCCAAACACTGTGCTAAGTACTAGAGATACAAACATAAAAGAAAGAAATGTGAACAAAGTGGGCGCCCATCAATTGGAGAATGGCTGAGCAAATTGTGGTTTGTGAATATAGTGAAATAACAAACAATGAAAGGGATGGATTCAGACAAAATTAGGAAGACTTGTATGAGTTGATGTAGTAGAAACAATTTATACAATAACTACAACACAGGAAACTCTGAAAAACTTAGAAACTCTGATCAACGCAATAAACAATTCCAGAAGACTGATGATGAATCATCACTTCCTACCTCATGATATAGAATTGAAAGAGTAGAGACACAGAATGAGACAAATATTTTCTAATGTGGCCAATATGTGTATCTGTTTTGCTTGAATTATACTTTTTTAAAAAGGGAAGAGGGCTAGAGTTATGCAAAAGAGTATAAGAAGTAATAGTGATGCCCCCCAAAAGAAGAAAAGAGTGTTATGAAACATTTGTAAAGCATACAGAAGAAAGTAGGAGGAATTTCAGAAAGACGTACATGTAGATAAGCAGTATGGTATTGGAATTACAGTGTTAAACTTATTATGTACTTAAAAACAAGCTTTACATATTTAAGATTCTTTTTCTGTTCTCCTTTGTATGTGAAATGATCACATTTGTTGATATCAAGTTAAAAAATTTAAATCCTCCCCCCAAAAAAGCCCCACCATCCTACCAAGATAAATTTGAGTTGCCTGAAAGGAAATAAATAAACAAATATAATATAAAATGCAACAACTAAAGTCCATTTGAAAAATTAAGACCTGCCTTAAATGTGATGCTGGCATTTACAGGTCTGTGCACCCCAAAATTATTTCTAGATAGAATATGAATAAATAACATGAATGACAATATATATATATATATATATATAATTTTTATATAAATGCAATGTAAATGGGAGAAGGGATCAATTTACCATTCAAAAATAAAACCGTATTTTAAGTCAGAAAAAGGCCAAGACATGCATTAGGGAATATATATTAGTCATCTTTTCCATCAAAGTATTATAATTTTTATGAGTTGTTTTAAGTACTCTATTTGCAGAGATGATTAATGGAAAATCACACAAGTACAATTAATGCCACCTTCATGAAGGGTTTTTTTTTGTTTGTTTTAAATTCCTAACTTAGTTATAGAGAATACCACATAGATTAAATTTTAGCACTTTAGTATTCCTTTTTACAAAGTTAATTAAGCTGAGTTAATAGCCTATGTTTACTGTACAGCAAACTGGTACCTTCATTTTTTTTCAATTTTTGCATAGATTTGCCTTTTATATCCTGAATCTGGTCCTTTAATGCATTAATTTCCTGGAGAAATAGAAATTAAGTGAATGATGTCAAGGGAATAAATTGATATATATTACAAATGAAGAAGGGACATCTTTTCAAAACCCTTTATGTACTGGCCCATGTTTACTTCTTGAATGAGATGAATATCACTTCTCTATTTTTTCAAATGTCAAAGAGGAATAATTTATCTATATAAACAAGTGATTTTCTGAACATTAAAATGAGACTATGACTCAAAAAAAGAAACAGAACCATAATACCAGAATTTATTAGTGACAGTCCACTTCAAAGCCAAGAATTCCAGTTTGTAGACAGAATAACTATTCTCACTTTGAATCTTCTACTAACAAATACAATAGCCTTCCATGGGCTCTTGTTCTTCTGATATTAAGCTCTCCACACTAGTACCAGAGGGTAAAGCAAAAGGCTTGCTTGGATACGAAAAAACCAACCCTGGTACACATGTAAAGCAATTAACCAAGTCCGTAAAAGGCCTGTTAACATTTGTCATCTCAAAGATTTCCAAATTCTATCAGAAGGTTCAAGCCAGATCTTCTCTTTTTTTCTATTTTGCTTTTGGGTAATCACCGAGGGGCTTTGTAATGGTGATATAGTTCTTTACAAATTTCTAAGAGTACTACTAAAGCCTACAAAAAGTTTTCAGGTCCATAATTTTTTGGATATGACCAGGCAACAACGAGCACTTCTTTCTTGTCAGTGCTCACTCTCTGCTGAGCCACTGTGTGAATAATATACTTGTCAGAGGCCCTTGAAGAGCTGCCTCTTGTGAATTTATGGCTTTAAACAGTGGCTTCCGACATTGAAAAGCCTTCAGTAGATCTTACCATCTCTGCAACAGATTGTGCCATATCTCTCTTGTTATCTCAACCAAACTGAGAGAAAAAGCTGTTTATACCCATTGCCTCTACTTCTAGTGCTCTCACTCATGCCTTAATCTCACATTTAACCTTATCACTCAACTAAAACATACTCTTACTACAGACACCAATGATTTAATTATCAAATTTGTTAGTCTTTTCTCAGTTCTCATCTTTCTCAGCCTAGCTGATGCATTGGAAGTTGTTGACCTCCCTTTGCTCCAGGACACTTTCTCCTCTCTGGTTTGGGCTTTACTGACACTACTCTTTTCTGGTTCTCCTCCCACCAGTATGATCTTTGATGGCTTATTACCCACAGCACACCTCCTAACTGTAGGTGATCCCCAAAGCTCTGGCTTGGGCACTGTTTTCTCTCTTTTTGTGATGTTATTAGCTTCCATGGATTTAACTATAATCCTTATGCGAATGATCCCCAGACTTATAAATCCAGCTCCAGGCTCTCCCCTGAGAGAGTCTGCATCACCATCAGTCCCACATGATCAATTGCCAACTGGATTTTTCAGACTGAATGTACAGAAGATATCTGAAACTCAACATGTCCAAAACAGAGCTCGTTATCTTTCCTCATAAATCCACCCCACTTCTAACCTTCCTCCATTTGATGAAGGCATAACCATTCTTCCAGTTTGGCAAGTTCATAACCTCACCTTTAAATCTTATCCCATATCTAATCAAATGCTAAATCATGCTGTTTCTACCTCCACACCATCTTTCACATTCATCCCCTTTTCTTTACTCACAAAGCCACCACCATAGTAGAGGCATTCATCAGTTTTCATCTATACATTCTTATACCTATTATTATTAAATTTTTTGAGAGGCAATCAGGGTTAAGTGATTTACCCAGGGTCACATAGCTAGTAGGTGTCTGAGGCCGGATTTCAACA